GACACATAAGATGAATAAAGATGACAGGTTGAAAGTACAGTGGTGAGGGAAGATATACCTTGAAAACACAAACCATTATATCAATATCGGATATATATCAATATCAGACAGAGTAGACTCCAAGGTAAAAAGTAAGATCAAAGATAAAGAGATACATCCAATAACAATAAAATGATCAATTCACCAAGAAGATTTATTCTTAAACGAAGCAAAACTGAGAAAATGAGAATAAGAAATAGAACAACCAAAACTATGATTGGTGATTTTAAGGACTCCTTTGAGTAGCTGATGAGAAGCTGAAAGAAAAGGGGAAATAACTAGGATATAGAGGATTTGAACCATAGCTAGTAACTGATCAACTTGATCTAGTCAGCACTTATAAGATACTACTCCTAACTATTGTAGAATACACGTGTCAAGAATGGCTTTGAGGATCAATCTTGAAGACGGGGGGAACAAGAGGAGGCTATTATAGCTTATGGTCCCTTATGGTCCCCCAAATAGGGACCAACAGAAGGAAAAGAAGGGAAAGACATCTTACACATGTTGAAGGCAAAGTCAGCAGGACTTTGTGATGATTTGATGGTGGGAGGAATCAAGGTTAACCACAGGTTTCCAATGGGTTTAATGTCAGTTGAGTTTACGGTGCCCTGTGCCAGCAGTACCTATATGAAATCCCAATGGAGATGGAAATATGAATTTGAAGTTACGGAGAGATCTGTCTTAGATGTGGATATTTGGGGAGATCCCCTCCAGGCAGGCAGCTAAGAGGTTTAGAGTTGATAAAGAAATTCTGAGGGAGAAAAGATCAACTCCAGAAATTCTGCAATGAGTCAAGATGTGGACATCAGCACTGGAAAGCACCAAATGCTTGAGATTCTTCCAGCTGCAATCATGGTGTGGGTATAAGACTCAAGAACTTAAAACTTAACCATCTAAGAGTGCTTGACATTCCCAAGTTTGATGTGCTGTGTATGTGGAATTGTAGACATAGACTCAGCATTAAACAATCCCAACACAGAGAAGAAAGTGTGACAACAGGTGACAGGGACAGATGAATTTAGAAGATCTCAGCTGAGTCTGAAGAGTAATGATTTCTGGAAGTAGGTATCCCCAGTATGGTCATCACCACATTTGTTTCACACCTAAAATTTCCTGGTTAGACACTGAGTGGACATACTTCCCAACCATTTCTCCTTCTCTGCCATTTCTCTTCATGGCCATGCTTTATCTTTCTTCTTTTAATGGATATTTCATTCAAGTGAATTCACCAAACTATCCAGTGTCCAACATTACCAATGAATAGCTAGATAAGAAAAAGAAAGAACCACATAGCTGACCTAAAACAGTAGCATGTCTACTTTAATAGCACAAAAGAAGAGAGCTGTCTGCCTAAGGATCCCAAGCCAGGGAACATTTAATAGGGGAGGTGGTTTGAATAAAGAATAACTTGTGTAGGAAAGAAATAGTATTTCCATGAGAGAGAACTCCCTTCAGCAAAGACACAATTGTGAATGTCCAGGATATGGTTAAAATTGTCTTCCAGAGTAGCTACCTTTTATTATTTAGTACTCTTAGCCACTCAGACTTTCCCGAGTTACATGATGTCATCCATTAGATTCAAATCCATTAGATTCAAATTTAAGGAACTTTACAAATAGGCATCTAACATCTTTGCATTTCCAGATGCTCAGCAATCCACAAGAAAGTAATCCTTTCTTAGTAGTCAGTAATTTCTTAGTAATACAAAAAATGTCTGAAAGGGCATGTTTTTAAAGTGGTTGAGTCTCAAAAAAAAAAAAAGTGGTTGAGTCTCTGTCACTTGATCTCAAATGGTAGGACAAAAGAGGGAAACCTCAGCTAGGCTACTCACCTCCTGCAAATATCATGACTAGCACAAATATTCTGAGTCCTTTAATAACTCTTGGTATATGTATTGGGAATTCTTCTCAAACCCTGAGTATTACAAGAGTCATCCTGTGTAAATTCAAGTTGGTTCCTACTCACCTACAGAAAACATAGGAGGATAAATCATAAAAACCAGGAATAAAGCAAGGAAACAGGCCCTGCTGGGATTTGAACCCAGGATCTCCTGTTTACTAGACAGGCGCTTTAACCAACTAAGCCACAGAGCCAGATGTAGTAGCCCTTTCACTTACATCTTGTTTAATATGATTCCACACACCTTAACTATAACAAAGACCAGCATGTGTCTGACCCATGGTTGTCAAAAGAACTGTGAGGATACTTTTGCACCGGTGAGGTTGTGCTCAAGGATGGTGGTACTCTTTTCTCAACTTCAGAAATGTTGACAGCCGGTGGCTCACCACTGAGTTGGTCTCTGAGAACTGTCCTCAACAGAAGAGGCACCTTGCTCAAATTTACACCCACCATTGGGGATGCTTAAATCCAAGACTGGTTGATGGAAGAGTATAAAGTCCTCCCCTCCTCCTATGGACATTTCTGAAGGGCCGTTCCAGGCTCAAATATCCCTGAGAGATCTGCTGGTGGCCTCTGTTAAACTACACCACGCTTATCTTCTGCCTGTTTCCAATCCCACTTCCCTTACCCTCTCCTATTTGCTGATTCTAAGAGCATTCTCAATAAAACTGCACACAACCTCCACCTCCGTGTCTGTTTCCCAGGGACCCGACCACGACCAAAGGCAAGTGACTGATGCCTACTTCGATCTCTAGAGGTCAAAGTAAGTCTGAACGTGGCCCGGACTCAGAAATCATTTACCACAGCAAGTACCCTGGTAAAATAAAAGTGATCGTAATATTAATATTCTACCCTACACACTTACAGACTTGTCGCCACAGAACAACAACGACAACAATATGAAGATACCTACCAGTTGGTTCAAACGATGTATATAGTTAAAACATGCTCAAGGACCAGAGGAATAATTTACGGCAGTAAAAGCAAGTACCTGAAACGGGAGGTTAGAAACTAAACGAGACATGTAGCTAGTCAAAGAACACGATTCTCATTTCTACGGAAATTTCTAGGAAATCCAGAAGACCACACAGACGTGCGCATACGTACTTACAAATGGAGCGTGAGGGCCTTTAGACTGCACGCAGACCGATCGGCTTCTGAAAATGCCAGTACCCCAGCTCAGAAGGAGCCGTGGTGGGCAGAGGAGAGGCAGACGCCGCAGGAGAGCAGGGACCAGAGGACTTGGCGGCTCCCGCGGCCCGGGTGGACGCGCACCTGGCGGCAGGTGGGTAAGGCGCCGGCCGGAGAGGGCGCCCCTCCTCGGAGCTTTCCCGCGGTGCTCCTCAGCCTCGCGACCCGGTCAGTCCCGGCGTTTCTCCCGGGCCAGGTAAGGGCCCTGACGCTGGACACGCCCTGCCTCCCACAGACCCCGCCCGGGTTTGCGGGGTCCTGGCTCTCTGCTCCGGGTCCCGGCGGGGTCAGAAGCTCCCGGAGACCACCGCGGCTCTGGTGCCCGCGCCGACGCCAGCCCCGCACTCGGGCGCCACCGCGCGTCCGGTGCGCCGCACTGCAGCTCCACGTCGGCGACGCTCCCCGGCGGACTCGGGGTGGGCGGCCGGTCTTGCAGGGTCCGGGGTCCCCAGGGTCCGGGCGGAGCTGACCTGCCGAGAACAGGCCCCAGGAGCGGGGAGGCACCCGGGGCCCGCTGCCGGGGGTTGGCCTGAATCTTCTCAGGTTTTCCTGGAAGAAGCATGATCCGTTGAGCCCGAATATGGGACTTTTGCCTTCCCTTCTCCCCCATCTGCCCATCCAGAGAAGAAGAACGCAGGGAATCAGAACGATTCTCTTTTCCCAAGAGAAACCTCAGGATAGGAATGTTGTTCCTGTGTCTTTTCGGAAAAACCCCACGCGTCCCGGCCGGTTAGCTCAGTAGGTTAGAGCGTGGTGCTAATAACGCCAAGGTCGCGGGTTCGATCCCCGTACGGGCCAAGCTGCAGCTGGTTTTTTTGCACTACCCCGGGAGGAACGGAACGGCAGGCCTCGGGCTTTGTGGAGGAAACAATCTCTGAGCCCGTTTGCTGCGAGTCCTGGTCCCCAGACGGACAGAGTCAAGGACCAGCCTGGGTTCCTAGCAGGGCCCGCTCGGCCCCAGAGACGAGGGACAACATACAGCGCTTATCTTGCTTGCTTTTCCCGTGAAGAAATTGTTTTTGGGAGGGGGAAATTGTATTATTTGACAGTTACCTCTGAAAACCAGTTGTGGAATCACCCTTTATATCACTTCTTATGCGGCATTCCGCATTTCCCAGTTCAGTCTAAAAGAAAAAAAAAAAAGACTAAAAAACGAGAAAAAAATTTTTGCTTTAATAGTAAGAACGGCCAAGATCTTTGTTTTATACGCTCTCACACTTTATCTGAAATAAAAGGGTTAAGTAACTCGAAACACAATTTTTTTTTAATTTTTTGCATAAGTAATGCCTACATTGATGTGTTTCAAAAAGAAACTTTAAAAAGATAAATGGAGATGTTTCCCTTTCACCCTTATTCTTCATCAGCCCCCTTCTCACCATCCCGTCCCAGGTAAGTTCTGTCCATAATTTCTCATTTAGCCTTACTGGTTTTCCTTAGGCATGGATACATAAATATTTATATTATTTTTTCTTCTTTTTCACACAAAAGATTTACACATTGTTTTGCACTAGCACTTTTTTCTTAGTATATCTTGAGTATTTGTGATTGCACTTTGTACCTGGTACACTGTGAAAGTTAAAGCTTATTTTCCAAAGACTTGGTCCTGCCCCTGGTGGAGCTCGGATGTCGCGAACCACAGAGTCGCAGAAACCTCCAGGTTCCTAGAGCGGACCGGAAATGACGCCCGCGGTGGGAAGCCGAGCGTCGGGTTGGGGACCCAAGCGGTCCCTGTGCTCGCCGGCTCTCTGCGGCTACGGGCTCCCTCGGAGTGCGAAACCGGCTCCCCGAAGCCGGAGGCGCCGCAGGACCGCCATGGGCTTTGAGGCGGCCCGAGAAGGGCCAGGCTTCGGAGCCTGCCACCTGACGAAGGCGGGACGTGGGGGGACGCGTTCAGAAACGTAGGTCTGCGACGAGAGCTGCCCCCGCGGCACTAAGGCTGGTTCAGGAGGCGCCCGGCTGCGGGGGAAGCAGTAGTCGCTTCTCCTCGGCCTTCAAGAGGGAACGGAGGGGATGACTGTGCGGAGACAGCCCGCGGCCCGGCTGCAGATGGAGCTGGCCTGGGCGCTCCCCACCAGGTGAAGTCCACCCGGAGCAGACTGGCCTTGCGGATGGCAGGACGTCCCTGTTGGTGCGTGTGGTGGGGGGGGGGGGGCGGAGGGAGCACCGAGGGGCTCAGGTGCTGGCGCGGCGGGTGCTGGAGGATAACAGCAACTGCTCAGGATAGCAGCGTCTTCTGCAGAACCACCCTCTGGAAGGCAGAAGCGATGTGACTGTGTTGAGTGCACTGATGATTCTGCGCATCGTAAGTGTGAGATGTGTATTGTCACAGGGCGAGCCTGTGGTCAGATGATAGCAGTCCATCGACCTCAACAGCCTGCCTCTACCCTGAAGTCATTAGAGATGAAAGTTCTTGAGCAGTGTTGATGTGCTGACAGTGCTCCTGCCAGATCCCAGAGTCCGTCTGGCCCTTCCTTCTGGGCGGGCGCTGTTCTGGGACACTGCCTTGTTCCTGATCTTAAAGGGAAAGCTCTCCTTTCTTCACCTTTGAGAATGATGTTAGCTCTGGGCTCATATTCGATCTTAAATTATGTTTAGGTACATCCTTGTGAACCTAGTTTGTCGAGAGTTTGTTTGTTTGTTTTTATCATAAAAGGTGGTTGAAACTTGTCAGATGGTTTTTCTGCATCTATTAAGAAGATCATGTGATTTTTACCCTTCGTTCAGTTCATGTGGTGTGTCCTACTAATCCAGTCATCTCTGAGGTGTGTTGATGATGATGAATATCCCGGCAAACCTGGCAAGACTGTGTCCCAGATCTATCAGTTACGGTGAGTCAAATTTTGTGTTCACTTAGGCTGCAGAAGCCTTTCAGTTTTTGATTTCTCAAAAAGGGAGTCTGTCCACGAATTGATACTAAATTGGTGTGTTTGTGGGAATAAGAAGGTCCTCGGCTTCCTACACCATGTCTTGCTCTAGAAATGGCACTAGTCCGTTGTTCTCAGCACCTCTTGACTGATCCACCCACTCTTGGAGTACAGCCCGAGCGCTCGCGGTGGCTGTCACACCCACTAGTGCCATAGTTCCAGTGACTGCTCCCTGGGAGTGCAGAGACCATCCTGGAAGTTTAAGTAGTTCTGTGGCAAAGGAGCTTGAGCTCTTGACCATTCCAGTGTTGGAATGATTTATCATTTTCTGAGCACTGGGGCCATCATTCTGTGATGCGTTCGTCATTCAACAAATAGCGCGGTGATGACATGCCGGGCTGTCCTAGGCAGTGGGGAAACAGACCAAGGCCTCAGGCCTTTCCTGACTCCTGTTTCTCTCCTACCACATGTCTCATCTCATCACTAAGTCCAGTGGCTCTACCTGCAAAGTAAGCCCAGTTTGAGACTTCCAGTGCCCTCCTCAACCACACACTGCTCCAAACCACCATCATCTCATATGGCCTCACTATTCCAGTAACTCCTGAGTTCCTTGCTTTACCTCGGGCCCCACAGTCTAATCATAACGCAGCAACTGAGCGAATGCATAGAACTGTGAGTCCCGTCTCCCGTTCCTTTGCTCCAGTGGCTTCTCAGAATAAACACCAGATTCTTTAATGTTACCTGATGATCTTACACAATCTGGTCTCTGTCTCCTTTCTGACATCTAGTGCTCTCCTCTCTCACTCCACCATGCCGGCCTTCTTGCCTGAAGCGATACACGATTGACTATGAAGTAGGGAAGTCAGTCATTGTCATACGTATCCACACAAAGTGAATAAGGTTTGGACAGTGCACTTGGGTAAGCTTCCAACCCGAGCTTGGGCCTTGGAAGAGAGATTTATACTGGCAGATGAGAAGAGGGAAGCAAGAGGACCTAGTAGATGGGATCGAGCAAAGGCCGAGGGTTGTAGCACTCTAGCGATAGCTCCATATGTTAGCCATGTTTGTTTGCAAACCAGTGTTAGGCACCTGGAACAGTACAGGCACCACAGTAGGGGGTTGAGACTTACTCACTGAATGAACGAGAGATATTTGGATGGTACTTAGTGGGCAATGGGACAGAAGGTTTAGATGGTGCCCATTCAAGGAACACTTGACTGTATAGGATTTGAGAAACAATATGGCGCATGTTTTTGGTAGAGAGGTTGAATTTTTGGAGGGAGTAGACAGAAATAAAGCTGGAAAGATAGGTCGAAGTGAGATTAAGGAAGGGCTTGGATGTCACTCAGAGGTTTACATTAGGTGTGCTCAGGGAGATGTTGGGGGGCTTCCAAGCAGGGGGAAACCAGATGAAGTGACTGTCAGTCTGGAGTCTGGAATGATGGCAATAATGGCTGGAGCCCGGGAGAGACACGTTCCAGAAACTCAGGCTTAACACACCATGGGCCTACAGTACTTGTTAAATAAGGAATTGAATTGCAGAAGGGATATTGGGGCTAGAATGGGAGATTTAAGAAAGTTTCAGGAATGAGGAATCATTTAGAATTGTCTTTGAAGGATGAGGAGGAAATTTGGAGGGTCTGGGGACACACCTCCCCACGTCTTCCCTTTCCATCAGTGCTTTAAGAGGAAGAACCTGAACAGAGACATGATCCTCACCTGTCATGTCCTGGCCACCATCCTGGTGTGCTCTTCCCTCGTCTCCTCCCGGGTGGAAAGAGAACTGCCTGGAGAGGCCTGCATCCTCGTCAGTGCGCCCTTCAAAGACCACAGTAGTCAGATGTGCTGGGAGCCCAAATACAAGCCCAGTGAGTCCCGGGGTAAGCTGCAGCCTCGGGTACCTGCCGCCCTGGCCACTCCTTCCTGCTCCCTGGACACCTCGGCACCGGGAAAACAGGGGAGTGGACCCTTAAAAAGGACGAACTTCTCAGACTCTTTTGTCCTTCTTCCCTGATTCTAGCCTACTTCCTCCTGGGTAGAGTTTTCATGGTCAGCGCCCTTCTCTCACTCTGCTTCAACTTTGTGTTGCTGACCTTCCCGCAGTTACTCCCTGAGACCCAGAAACAGTATGTTTCCTGTGCTGGTGTCTTCATCATCACAGGCAAGGAGAGGCGGGAATGAACTCAGAAGGTCTTGGCTTTGGGTTAGGGTGGGATTTTCTCTTGATCCGCTTTTTAATCACTGTTTGGGAAAGTACAGAGGAAGAGGAAAGTCTAGGAGAAGCACATCGTCTCAAAGGAGGCAGAAGGAAAGTGAGGGGCAGTAACAAGGGCACGATTCTGGTTCATCGATCACGACCCTGCCGTGAAACTTTGGAGGACTGGCAGAGGCTAATCAGGAGACCTGCATCTCCCCTTTCTTGGGTCCACAGGTAATTTTGTGTTCCTCTCATTATTAATGCATACATGCAAATTTTGGAAGTGTCTCAGGGGCCCAGTCCACCAAAAGTCACCTGTAAGTTTCCTTACTTCATGAACGTGTCCAGCTCTGTCCTGTTTCTAATGTCTGGTCAGTGATCATTGGATTCTGATGAGGAAGGTGAGTTAACCTCCCAGGCAGTGGGTAAAGCTCATTTCTTTGATCTCCCTATTTTTTTTGTCTTAGAGTCTCAGACATGTGGAAGTTACATCCGCAGCTTTCTCCAATTCTCAACTTTCTCCAATTCCTCTGTGGTTTCTGGGCATTGGAGGCCCTTACGATATTTGCCCGCGACTTCTTCCTATTGTCCGGTGACCTGTATTAGAAACTTTGTTCCTTCATGATTTCTTCCTGCAGTTCAGTTTTGCAATATAAATCCTCAAATTGGGATTGAGAAGCAATCTCTCTGCACCAACTTGAACAAGGGGTCAAATGCAGAATATGGGAAAGAATTGTTTCCCTTTTTTGACAACAGGAAACAGAGGACCACATGTAGGACTGGTTACATAATTTGGGAGGCCCGGTGCGAAATGAAGATGTGGAGTCTCTTGGTTGAAAATTCTTAGCAATTTCAAGATGCTGACAGCAGAGCTTTAAAGCAAGCGTGAGCTCCTCCGAGTGCAGGCCCCGTGTTGCTGCCCAAGTTGCACATCCGGGAAGTGAGCTCGGACACTGTGTTATGCGATATGTGATAACAACAACGTGTGTGGTTGACCCACGCTGTAGTCTCTGGACCCATTACACTCTTTAAAATGAGAGATTGTCCGAGAATCATGAGTGTAGTTATTTTGTTAGGAGCCCTCTGTCTTTGCAGTTCCCAGCGTTTGGAAGCTGCTGGCGTTTTAAAATCTCAGCCTCGCCACATGGATGCCGTCTCATCGGAAGACACAGAGCTGAGCCTGGAACCACGCAGAAGGCGTGAGTGTGGTGCGGCAGACTCGGCGCCCTAACTGGGGATTTCTCAGGCATTCACCCCAAAGATGGTGTCACTGATTCGGGAAGGCCCTGACTTCTTCCCCTTGTTCTGTTCATTTCTCTTTCTGGAGCCTCAGGTCACAGGTCTGTTTCGGGGCAGAGGAAGGGAAGGGGTAGCATTGTGTGTGCAGGGCTAGCGGAGGAAGGGAAGGGGTAGCATTGTGTGTGTGGGGCTAGTGGAGAGGCGGCCTTGCCTTTCGGCTACAGGATTACGCAGGTGCTTGTTCGCCGTTATCTCTGCTTCTCTGTGCTCGCTGGGGACCTGCCTCACGGGGGTGTCTCCTTGTCCTAAACAAAGCCCTTTCCCCATCTGTGAAGTTTAGGTTTTAATAAACACTCTCTTCCCTCTGGAAGTGTGAAAGGTCGTTTATTCTCACGGCGTCATTTCCACAACTGTTGCCGGTGGGCACAGTGTTTGTGTTTGGGGGCGGGCCTTCCTCACTCTGGTAGCTGGTTGTCTGGTGTCACCAGAAGGGCAGCGTCTGTGGGGACCTACCTCTAGCAAACCACTGCTGTGGGAGGGGACAGAGAGGGGGCCTAGAGAGCAAAGGGACACTGCCAAGCTGGAGGCAGTCTTGGGGGACATGTTGCCTTTGCACGGAGCATATCCCACACAGGTGTTTGACTGATAAAGGTGTTGATGAGATGATACAGTTTTTAGAGAAGTGAGAAATGAATTCTAGACTATTTTAAAAGCTACAGAAATTAATCAGAAATATTTTCACTAAGGTCAGCTTATAAAGGAAAAGAATGGTTTCCTTTTAAGGGGCAAAGGACAAATATTTACTGAGTACTTACTACTTACCAGGTGCCATGCTACACACAGTGTGTGTGTGTGTGTCCTGTGCATGTGTGTCTGTCTCTGCATGTGCATGTGTGTGTGTGTCTGTGCATGTACATGTCTGCGTGCGTGGGTGTGTGTGTGCATGTGTGCGTGTGTAATAAAGTTTTATTTTAAGTATTTCATCTTTTCTCTGTTGTTCTGCGTATATCTTCAGTGTAAAGAGCCAGAGGATTGAAATTTTGCCATTTGCAATGGTGTGGATGGAACTAGAGGGTGTTATACTAAGTGAAATAAGTCAGTCAGAGAAAGACAGTTATCATATAATCTCACTCACACGTGGAATTTAAGAAACATAACAGGGTCATGGAGGAAGGGGGGGAAAATAAAATAAGATGGAATCAGGGAGACAAACCATAAGAGACTCTTAATCATAGGAAACAAACTGAGGGTTGCTGGAGGGGATGGCAGTGGGGGGATGGGGTGACTGGGTGGTGGGCATTAAGGAGGGCACGTGATGTGATTCTGTGATGAGCACTGGATATTATATGAGACTGATGAATCACTGACCTCTGCCTCGGAAACTAATTTAAAAAAATCCAAAGGATTGGTTTTTTTCACTATTTCTGAATTTACTTTTCTCCTCTTTTTAATTATACAAGTATTATAGATGGTTGTTGTCAAAACACATAAAACACATCGATTTCCTGTTGAAAACAAAAGCTACCTGTTGGTCTCTCCCTCTATCCAGAAAGCCTGGTGGGAAGGGAGAAACTTAGTTTTTTTTTTCCCCTCAGTGTTGCATTCCCAATATCAAGATGCATGTTTAAAAAAAAGTTTAAGGGATAAATTGGTAGCTATTGTTAATTATATATTAGATGAAAAATTAATATCTGTAAAGGATTTTACAGGGATTATACACCATGGGAAGGCACCTTGGGGGATGTCAGAGAATTCTGCCTACCTCAAGATACAACAACAGAGGTTGGAGTTGAGTGGAAATTGCCAGTATCACTGACAATTGGAGGAATTTAATAAAATCAAGTGCCTCATACAACAGGTTCAGATCTTCCCAGTGGCAGAGATAGGTGTGGGATCACAGTTTTAGATCAGCTGGCTCTCTGGTGAGGAAAAGTAACATAAGGAAACTTCTATAGGGATGGAACCTGGACATGGGTGCCATGGTCATGACAGTCTGAACAATGTCACTTACTGACCGCTGGGAGACTGCTGTATTTTCTCATTAGCGAGTGTCAATTGGGTAAAATCTTTGCCACCTGGAGTCTCACTTCAGAAAAAAATAGGCCCTCCACTTCCACTCATCCTCTCTCTCTCCTTAATCTATGAGAAAGAAAAAAGATGACAAAACCCACCTTTGGTAAGAATGAGTCTTACCTCTCTGTGGAGATTGAATCTCTCTCAAACCAACTTATTTCTGACTGTGAAGACACAGATGAACTCCTTGGGAGGAACTCTCTTCCTTCTGCGCAGGAAGTCCAGGAAGGCCAGGAGCAAACATGAAGCTCAAGGCTCAGACTGAAATTTGAGACAGCTCATGAAAACGACCCACTGAGCCGCCCCCAGTATCAGAGAACTTTCAAATGTGGAATCCCCATGTTTGATCTCAAAATATAGATGCAATTTAACTATCAGGACAAATTTTATCTAATTTTTAAACTGATTTTGAAGTTTCTGTTAAGGACTGCTATAAAAGAAATGTGGGAGTTTCTTCTAAGGGCCAAGGGGACTAACCTATACGGTGGCCAAGAGACTTCTTAATTCACCAGGCATGTAACTGCTGTTCATGACATAAGGATTATTACCTCCATTTAACAAAGAAAGATATCAAGTCTCAGAGAGTCAATGGGAAAGTCAGGATTAGAACATTGGTTGTTGAGTTCCAAACTTCACAGTCTTTCAAATCATCTTGCCCCATACATTTTAGAGAGAACAGAATTTAGTAGTCTGGCTTTTCAATGGGGAGAATATGGATATTCAATAATACAGTGTTGGTATGCAGAAGAATGAAACTGGACCACTTTCTAACACCATACACAGAAATAGACTCCGGGTGGATGGAAGACCTAAATGTGAAACAGGAACCCATCAAAATCCTAGAGGAGAACACAGACAGCAACCCCTTTGACCTTGGCTGTAACAACTTGCTAGACATGTCTCCAAAGGCAAGGGAAACAAAGGCAAAAATGAACTACTGGGACATCATCAAGATAAAAGGCTTCTGCACAACAAATGAAACCGTTGACAAAACTAAAAGGTAACCTATGGAATGGGAGAAGACATTTGCAAATGACATATTAGATAAAGGGCTAATATCCAAAATCTGTAAAGAACTTACCAAACCCAACATCCAAAAAACAAACTGTCCAGTTAAGAAATGGGCAGAAGACATGAACAGACATTTCTCCAAAGGAGATATCCAAGTAGCTAACAGACATGAAAAAAAAATGCTCAGTATCAGCTCTCACCAGGGACATAAAAATCAAAACCAGAATGAGATTACCACCTCACACACAGTCAGAATGGCCAAAATTAACAACTCAGGAAACAGATGTTGGCAAGGATGTGGAGAAAGGGTTACCCTTTTATGCTGTTGGTGGGAATGCAAGCTGGTGCAGCTGCTCTGGAAAACATATGGAGATTGCTCAAAAAGTTAAAAACTATCCTATCACCCAGCAATTGCACAACTAGGTATTTATCCAAAGGATACAAAGGGGCACATGTACCCCAGTGTTTATAGTAACAATTTCCACAACAGCCAAACTATGGACAGAGCCCAGATGTCCGTTGACAGATGAATGGATAGAGAAGCTGTGGTCCATATAGGCTATGGAATACTACTCAGCCATCACAAAGAATAAAATCTTGCCATTTGCAAAATGCAACTAGAGGGTATAATGCTAAGTGAATAAGTTAGTCAGAGAAAGACAGATACCATATGATTTCACTCATATGTGGAATTTAAGAAACAAAATAGATGAACATAAGGGAAGGGAGGGAAAAATAAAATAAGAATCAAGAGCGAGGCAAACCATAAGAAATGCTGAACTCTAGGGAAAAAAAAACAGTTGCTGGAGGGGAAGAGGGTGGGGGAATGCGATAACTGGGTGATGGGCATTAAGGAGGACACATGATGTAACAATAATGAGCACTGGGTGTTATATACAACTGATGAATCACTGAACTCTATCTCTGAAACGAATACAGTATATGTTAATTAAATTGAATTTAAATGAAAAAATGTGTTGGGATCACCAGCAGTTCTCTGGAAATAAGGTGGAATTGGATCTGTATCTCACATATTAAAACAGGAAAATTTTGGATAAATCAAAGACCTAAATACAAAAAAGAAATCCTGTACATTCTAGAGGAAAGCACGGCATTCCTCTGTCACTCTTTTTGATCTCCTAGTGGGGGAAAGGCGCATCTAAGTCAGACATTAAACCAGAATACCCCTCACTTGGGCCACAGACCCAAATCACTGCAAAGTTCTAAGGCAAATAACAAACTGGATCATCGGGGACATACCAGAACACATTGGCTTAATTGATTCATATTTAAAGAGCCCCTATAAATCGTTAAGAGAAAGACGTAACAGCCGATAGAAAAACGAGTACACAGAAAAGGAAATGCAGGTGGCTCATGAACTTAAAAAATGCTCAACAACACTAGCCGGAGAAAGGCAAAATCAAGTCCACTGAGGGGCAATTTCAGATTCCAAAGCCCCCCTGTTCTGCTGGCGAGGGTTCTCCTCTGCTCTCTGGGCGAGCTGGAGGGGCAGCGCCCGCAGAGCTCTGACGACCTTTGGAAACAGTAAGAATCCCGCGGCAGGTGGTTCTCGCTTCCCAGGGGCCGCAGAGAAGAGGGCTTCTTCCCTGTGGCCTCAAGGGCAAAGCCCCCAGACTTCCACCCCCATGCAACTGCGGGGCCCGGAGTAAAATCTCATTAGAGGGACTGTGGACGTTTGAGAGTTCTCCTTAGGTTGGCAGTTCGATGGGGCCGGGGCAGAAAACAGCGCAGGCACTACCTCCTCGACCTCCTTACTGCCTGGAGGCAGAGCAGGATAACATTTTCTAACGTGTTCGTGGGGGGACAGAAAAGCAGACGCGGGATCCGACCCCAGGCTTTGCTGGAGGTCGGCCATTCCCCGAGAGGGCTGCAAAGACGGAAACCTGCTCTACCGGGAGTGGGGTTCGAACCCACGCGGGCACACGCCCATTGGATCTTAAGTCCAACGCCTTAACCACTCGGCCATCCCGGTGGCTGGGCTCCTGCCCTCGGCAATTACTTTTTTATTGGAACCAGTGTATTCGCGCTGCGCCCGAAGGAAATACTTCTGCTTCTGGAGAATCGCACGAGGACGTTGCGATAGAGATGAAGCACGCTTTCCCCTGAGCTCCCCTCGAGAGATCACCGCCTGTGTTGTAGAGAAATTGCTGTTTT